AAAAATCAAATCAGACATTTTAATATTCTTTGTTGCCGCTCTCGTTGCCATTTCCCTTTTAGTAATATCACTGTACAAATATTTCTAAGCTTGAATGCACAATTATTTGTTCACCTGAAGGTTTAGAAAATTACAATGTTTTTACAAAAGTTATAACTGTGAATGATCATTTTAGCATACTGTATACATACTTTATATCGATATTCAACATTTATTTTAAGCTGAGAACTGATTTAAAATCTGTGATATCACTGACCTCTGAGAGTGTTTTTAAGAAAGGGTATTTGAGTATATCCTCCACAGTCATTCCATCTCTTATCTCCCTTCTTTGCCACGCAAACGTTCACTGCAATCGGTCTTTGACCACCAAGGTGTCTGGTCGCACTTTGCTGTACTGGATATGCAGGACATTCACATGACCCTCAACAGAGGATGCATCCTCACCAATGACTCACCAATGACCCGCACCACCGACTGGATCAACTTATTAAATCCATAATAATAATAATAATAATAATAATAAATGTTAAACCTCAAAAAACACATGATGTCATTCACCATTTCCTTACCTTACATTTTTATAATCACAAAGAGAGATATTCAATTTAAGGCTGCACAATGAACTCATTAAAACATTTTTATTATGCAAATGAGTAATTCCATGTCAAATCAACCAAATTTCAGAAACTTCCCTGGTTCAAATTTGTAATTTTGTTAATATTTTTTATACATTTGAATATTTATTTTATTCATCGTTCCAGGCCTACTTAACTGCATCATATATTATAAATATAAAAACCGAGTAAATAAAAAAAATCATATAAACCGAGTTTCTTTTGTGTGTGCTGCTGGGCCACCCTGCTTTCTAAGAAATCGGCATCAGGCATAAAAAAAAATCAATATCGGTCAACCACTAAACATAGGACAAATATAATACACAATACTTAATGTTATACTTACATTTCTGTAGTCAAAGTTTGTTGATAGGATTCTGCTGGCACTGTTTATAGTGTTATTGTTACCACCTCCATCTCGTGTACAAATTTGTTAAACTTGGCCTATTTTTTAAAGGAGCCTTGAAATAAATGTGAGATCATGTTCTCCGTGAGACCACACTCTACTGTTTCCCCATCCACCTCATTTTCTGAAAAAAAAAAAAAAGAATGATCAGTGTGAGCTCAAGGTTTTAACAATTATTTAAACAATAAAGTCAATGTATTTTTTTAATGGGCATTAATCAGTATAAAAAAAATTACTTCTATTTAGAAAAGTACACAATAACTCTATGTATACACACTCAGAAAAAGGTACACAACTGTCACTGGTGCAGTACCTTAAGGTACAAAAGCTAAAAGGTACTAATATGTACACTAACAGAGAAATTTACTTTTTTTCTGAGAGTGTATGATTAGAAGCAATATTATTTAAATTAGCAGCTCAAATACTAGAAACTTATTTCACGAGTTTTTACCAGTTTTGATAAATAATGGTAAACAAATTTAACTTGACTTGCTGTTCTTGGAAGGGCTCAAAGCCGACGCACGCCTCGATGTCCGAGCTAAATCGCCTCAGTTGATTGCTGCTTAAGTACCGGTAGTTCGCTCGTGATGACTGACAGGACTAAATGATTAGGACACTCCTGGACTTATTTAGAACATTTTTATTTTATATGTACCAAATAAAACTGATATAAATCAACACGGATGATATTCGTAAATTATATAATTTCAAACTGACTAGGAGAGGCGTTAAAATAAAACAAGAGAGGCATTCGCTTGCGTCCGGTGTGAACACGGGTAACGTTAACAGTAAGAAAATAATGGGAAACTGAATTTATAAATCTGTGGTTCCACATTGAGACCCAGCTTTAGTGAAAATAAAAGCCGAGTCACACAAAACGCGATGGGTTTGAACTGTTTCTATGGCCGTCTCACCAGCGTCTCAAGCACTGTCTCGCGGTAGAGTATAAGTTACTCTACGAAAAGTAACATTTTAATTTCTGGCTAAATAATAAAAACAATTGTTATAATAACAATAAGCTTACAATTGAATAACAATGCGTTGGTTTTGTCAGTGTTTTCGCGTTTCCCTCACGCGTCAGGTAAGTTAGGCCTAGCTACAGACGCAATGCCAAGTGAACATGACTACAAAGGGAACCAACGGATTTTCACAGTACTTAAAACTAAAATTACCTCAGAATTTCTGTGCTTCGTCTTCAGTGACATGTATTCCAGCTTCTCTCAATTTTTGAAGAGGATCCTCCATCAACAGCGTCAGAAGTGAGACATCGTTGATATGGAATAACCGTCGTGCTCGTGCACAATATCAATTTAGCGCGCATTAAATGCACCGCGCGGGCTATAATCCCATTGGACGACACGAATTTAAAGACGGCTGGCTGCGAAAATGCGTACTTGAACTTTGAAGCAAAGCTAATATGTACACTAACAGAGAAATTTACTTTTTTTCTGAGAGTGTATGATTAGAAGCAATATTATTTAAATTAGCAGCTCAAATACTAGAAACTTATTTCACGAGTTTTTACCAGTTTTGATAAATAATTTAACTTGACTTGCTGTCCGTGGAAGGGCTCAAAGCCGACGCACGCCTCGATGTCCGAGCTAAATGGCCTCAGTTGATTGCTGCTCAAGTACCGGTAGTTCGCTCGTGATGACTGACAGGACTAAATGATTAGGACACTCCTGGACTTATATTTAGAACGGTTTTTATATGTACCAAATAAAACTGATATAAATCAACACGGATGATATTCGTAAATTATATAATTTCAAACTGACTAGGAGAGGCGTTAAAATAAAACAAGAGAGGCGTTCGCTTGCTTCCGGTGTGAACACGGGTAACGTTAACAGTAAGAAAATAATGGGAAACTGAATTTATAAATCTGTGGTTCCACATTGAGACCCAGCTTTAGTGAAAATAAAAGCCGATTCACACAAAACGCGATGGGTTCCCCTTCGTGAACTCGAGCTGCTTCGGAAAACGCTAGGGGAACGCCTTCAGCGATACCAAGCTCTGAATCATATGTGTAATCAGTCGAACGATGGGCGAGACGTGCGCGGCGGGTGACGTCATGACCAGGAAGCTTTATCACGCGTCAAGGCCTAGCTACAGACGCAATGCCAAGTGAACATGACTACAAAGGGAACCAACGGATTTTCACAGTACTTCAGTACTTAATTACCTCTGAATTTCTGTGCTTCGTCTTCAGTGACATGTATTCCAGCTTCTCTCAATTCTTGAAGAAGATCCTCCGTCGACAGCGTCAGAAGTGAGACAGCCGTTGATACTTTAATACATTTGCTTTATGTTTAAAAGTTATTATCTCGATGCTCTGAATAATCATTTAAATGTCATGCGTTTGTATACTGTTGAGAACTAGTCAGTAAAGATGAGGGCTCTTAAATATATTCGGTTATGTTGTGCATCTCTTCCAAATAACCAACAACTCATGA